TTTCTGGAGATTATCCAAGGTGCTTCATGACCCATAATTGGGTCCCAAGCCCAACTTTGGGAACCAAAGTGCAGTGGTTCCCAAACTTTTCAACTTTTAACCCACAAAAATAACAGTAGCAGAGACCTGAGCCCACAACTGTTTCTGGATGATAAACATTTGTATCAGGTCTACAAAACATGGGCATAGTAACAATATTTTTATACTACATTTATCCATTTTAAATACACTAACCTCACTCATTTGTAACAACTAAGGCAAAAATGTAATTAATTCAGGAAATCTTTTCAGGACCCCACCTTGATGTTTCGGGACCCCACTTTGGGAAACACTGTATTAAATGATGACAACAAAAGTTAGGAGAAAGCAGCAACGTCCACTTTGGGATTTAAATATGACAGAAAAATCAAAGCAAGTGTGTTGTAGTGGAAACAGGTGATAAAACAGGTGGACTTCTCAAGAGAAAAACTGCATGAATCAAACTCACACAAGATGCTAACTATGACTCAAAACTAAAAAATAAATAGGTCCTCTGGATGGGTTCTTCTTTAGTGAAACATTTCGTCTCTCCTCGACTTCCTCAGTCTGAGTTTCAGTTGAAACTCAGCCTTATAAGCCCCGCCTCCACATCCAGGGCTTATAGGAGTGCCCAAGCGTTCATATGTTACAAGTCTGGCATGAGAACATGTTAGGATAACAGCTGCCCTGATCAACATGAGTGAATGTAGATGAGTCTGACCTACACTGCTCCAGCCAATGGTTTTATGATACACCCCATATTTGAGGAGGGGGCTCCATCTGAAAAGTTAGTATCTGAACATACAAAATGCTTATAAATCTAAAACTTTTCAACATAGGAGCCTCAGATTTTTGTATTTGTTTAGCTCTGATGAAGGGCTATCATCAGCCCCACCAATGAGACCCCACCCTCCACGCCCCCAGGATCCCCCACCCAAAACACTGACTATGTTCTGAGTTCTGCTGCGTTGGTGCTTTGCTACAGCTGTATCTAGTGTGGAGATCTTTGTCTAACACCTCCAGTGTGAGCTGCAGCTCCTCCTCCTGACATAAACCAGATAATAAACTGAATGTTGAACCTTCGGCGTGTTGCAGAGGTAACGCATGATCTCGCCGATGTACTGAATGACCGTCACGTTGTACTTCCTGCAGTCGTCCCAGAAGTTGGAAACGGAGAATTTACGCCTCAGAACCACGGTGCAGCCTGGAAACAAGAGACAAAGCAGGGTCGAGAACTTTCACTGAACCTTGAACTACAAACAGAGAATCAGAGCCGGGCCGCCTGCCGTTTGAGGTCAATCACCTGTTGGCTCAATAAACCTGGATTTATCATTAGTTACCTCGCTCTATGGCTCCTCCCAGGCCCATCAGAATGCCGGCGGTGTGGTACAGAGGCAGGTAGACGTACAGCACGTCGTCAGAGTGCAGGCCCGCAATGAGCCCAAGGAAAGAAGCCAACCAAACCCTCTCATGGTTCACCACAGCTGCTTTAGGAAGTCCTGAAAGAGAAGGCAGCTTTTTCATGTGGGACTCAGAGGCCAGGTAAAGGTCAGGTGAGTCTGGTTACCTGTGGTCCCTGAAGTATAGATGTATAACGCTGGGCTCTTCAGGTTGACGTTGGCCCTCAGCTGCAGGGACAGAGGCTGATCTGAGGCCTGCTGGATTTTATCAGAGAGGCTTTCTATGCTCTCCACATCACAGCTCTCACTGAGGACAAACACACGGACACCCTGCTCCCTCAGGGCCGGCAGCACCTCCTCCACGGCTCCTCGCAGCTCTGACAGACCAGAAGACAGTTTAATAAAGATGAAACAACAACTGCAAAATCTACAAACCCTGCTGGTGTTTGAAGCTCTGAGTCAGTGTTTCTGTTGTTCTGGACTTCATCCTGTTTGCAGATGATACCTCGGTTTGTTTAAAGGGATCTCTGTTCTTCCTGGGGTCCACAGTTTGATTTTTATTTATTTAACCTTTATTTATTCAGGTAAACTGTTTTGAGAAGCACTTCTTGGGGGTGGGGCTTGGTGTGAGGACAACAATGCCACAATCAGCACAAACAAAGGAGTTAATGAAGGTCATGAGGAAGGAGAGGAGATCTCATCAAGTCCTGTTCATCAGCTTCTAACACCTGGACACCAACCAGGACCTCACCTGGACCCTGAACACCACAGCTGGTTCTACTTTAGTGTGTCATCCTCACTAACTTGTGCAGCCGTGAGGTCCGGAGTCCAAACAGCTGAAGCTAAAAACTGTTCAAATTTTAATTAATTTTAAATTATTAGTTTTTTTTACTATTATTATTATTATTATTATTATTATTATTATTATTATTATTATTATTATTATTATTACTTCATACATTTTGCATGTGTTTTGTTTTTTACCTGAGTGAATATTTCTGAACAGCTGAAATCTGGTGTTTTTTATTTAAATGATCATAAAGTCAGTATTTCTTCGTTAGTGTTTCCAATTCTGCTCCGAACAATAAACACTTTTCTTTTTATAAACTTTCTGCTTCTTTGTGCTTTTTTAACCATTTATAGATTAAAACATTCTTCAGCTCCACTACTTTTAGCTTTTAACTACAGTTTATAATTTGGTTTATAGGTATGTTTTAGTACATTTTAGCTCTTAACTTTTAGCTGCTCTTTTAGCTTATGTTTTGTCAATATTAGCCACTGTTTTGTTCATGTTAGCAACTTTTCTGCTCCTATGATTTTATCTTTTTTATTTTAGCTTCTCTTTTTTGACATTTTAGTTTTAACATGTTTTGCTCGTTTTTGCTCTAGCCACTCTTATATTTTTAGCTCTTGTTTTGCTTCTTCAGCTTTTAGCTACCATTCAGCTCCTTTTATCAAGTTATTCTTTTATCACTATTTTAGCTTATCTTATATTTAAGTTTTAGCATTAAGCTAATTTTAGCTAAAGCCATTGTTTAATCATTTTGATGTTTCTGCTTCTTCAGCTATTAGTTAGCAATCTGCTCTTTTTAGCTAAAGCTGCATGCCATGAAACTGATTCCTGTTTTCTTCATTTTAGTAAAAAAGGTTTTTAAAGGACAAAAAAAGGAAAAATATTTGCTTTTACAAAAATGACAAACTGTTTTGTTTATTTGTTGTTTCTCCTGTAAACAACAAAACCATCAAGAAGCTGTCAATTATTTATATTTTTTACATTTTATGAACTTTAATTGAAGCTATTCTAATTTATTTTTAAGTTCTTGCCAAATAAAAAGTCAAGAAAAATTAAAAAGTATTAAAAACAAGAGAACAGCAGATTCTGCTGCAGGATGGTTATCAGTTTGTTTTTATGATCTGATTAAATCAGAACCATGAGAGAGAATCAATGTGATAAATGACAGTTGTAAAGTAACTAAGTACAAATACTTTGTTACTGTATTTAAGTAGAATTTTTGGGTACTTTATTTGAGTAATTATTTTTCAGCCTACTTTTTACTTCTACTCCTTACATTTAAAAAAGGTAAGAAGTAGAAAGTCGTTACTTTTATTTCATTTTTTCTTGTTTTCATTGCAGCTTGTTAATGTAAAAAAATAAAAACTATCCATATAAACTGAGCCTCCTAGATAGAGTGAATTTAACTGTGGTTGAATGAGAAGTATAAGTATATAAAACTCTGATAGTGTATTAGTTTGTACACAAACAAATCATGTCACACTCCAGCAGGACAGAATCATTTTAAATCAATACTTTGACTTTTAATACTTTAGTACAAAAAAAATCAGATACTTTAAGACTTTTACTCAAGTAATATTCCTAAAGGAGACTTTAACTTTTACCAAAGTATTTTTGGTAAAATACTTGTACTTTTACTCTAGTAATATTCCTAAAGGAGACTTTAACTTTTACCAAAGTCATTTTTTGGTAAGATACTTTTACTTTTACTGAAGTATCACTTTGTGGTACTTTATACAGCACTGATAAATGATAATAAAACCTGACCAGCTGCAGTGATGAGGACTGTGGCTCCGCAGCACGAGAAGCAGTGAAGCAGAGACTTGGATCTGATGTTGGTGTTCAGGAGAGACGCCACACAGCCCAGTTTGGCCAGTCCCAGCCAGACCCAGATGAAGTGGGGCTGGTTTCCCAGGAACAGGGCCACCGTGTCCCCCTCCTTCAGGTGGGCGTGCGTCTGCAGAGCTCTGGCCACTTTGCTGCTCTCTCTGTCGGCCTGGATGTAGCTGTAGGAGCTGTCCTCAAACACCACGAAGCTCTTGTGGGGATGCTTCTTCACATGCTCCAGGAAACAGTCCAGGAGGCTGCTGAACCTTTTCCGGATTTTGGCCATTCGGATCCCGATCTTAATGACGGTGGTGAAATACCTCAGATCTCCCAGAAAGTAAGGATTTCTCCAGAAGATCCAAACTGGCAGAACTGCCAGGAGAGTGAAAACAAGCATTAAGATCATTGTGATCAGGAGAACTCCGACGGTCCTGCTGGATCAAGGAGGACTGAAGGGGGTCAGGTTTCAGGTCCTGACGGGACCATCTGATCCGCCTCCTGAACTTTGCTTTACTTTGCTGAGCAGAAAAAAACACAAGAGGTGGGATTGTTTCAGCCTGAGATCCAAGTTTTTCTCCTCAGGGTCCTACCTCCTACCTCCTTTCTCCACAGGATCCTACCTGTACCTCCTCAGGCTCCTACCTCCTCATGGTCCAGGGTCCTACCTCCTTCCTGCTCAGGGTCCTACCTTCTAAGGGTCCTACCTCCTACCTCCTTTCTCCACAGGATCCTACCTGTACCTCCTCAGGCTCCTACCTTCTCATGGTCCAGGGTCTTACCTCCTAAGGGTCCTACCTTCTAAGGGTCCTACCTCCCTCCTCCTCAGGGTCCAGGGTCCTACCTCCTCAGGCTCCTACCTTCTCAGGGTCCTACCTCCTTCCTCCTCAGGGTCCAGGGTCCTACCTCCTCAGGCTCCTACCTTCTCAGGGTCCTACCTCCTCAGGGTCCTACCTCCTTCCTCCTCAGGGTCCAGGGTCCTAC